ACCATATTAAGCTTAATTTGACTGATTACATCATATTTGGAAGAGGTGTAACCATGTATTGGGAATAAATAAAAAGAGTTGAATAAGAGTGAGCATGAAAAAGTTGTCACTTGGACTTTGATTACCACAATAAATGAAATTAAAGTCAAGTGTGAGCTGTGGTTGAATAATGACAAGCTAAATGTATACATTGTACTTGCTAGTACATCATGCAACCAACATAAGTTCCAAAACAGCTTCAATAAAGCAAAAAATTCATACACACGTACATACAATGCAAATAAGAATTTACACATAACATATGCAATTGTAGTATGGTGCGTGGGCAGATCAAAGGCGCCGCCAGTGCTACAGCCATAGATATTATAGACTACGTATATAGGTTACGTTATAGGTTATGTAGTCTATAATATCTATGCTACAACTTCCAATAACCGCATGGTAGGAAATGTAGCACTGTGCGGAATATATAGTACTGGACAGTATAATATGTATGGGCTTTCCTGTTAACCTGACTTTGATTGCGCTGATAAACCAAATGAAAGTCATGCGCAAACTGAGGCCGAGTAAAGACAATCTCCCTGTTATTAGATGAACGACTATCATTCTATAAATAAGAACAAGGACAGCATTATTGCATCAGTAATGGAAGGAAATGATTGGACTTCATTCTGAATTATTTGTGGATTTTCTTCATCATCAACTGAACTTGGAGGAAAAGGAACAAGAGCAGCTGCATTAAAGCAAAGTAGACATTTGAAAAACTATAACTTGTAGCTAAACTTACTGTTCTCCATACTTTGTTAGTACAAAAATGAATCTATTTGTCGCGTCTTTTGTTAAGTAGATGCTTATATATAGTAATTGAAAATAGAGTGCATAATGAACAACTAACAAAGGCCAAAGGGAACAGAAATCAACAACAGTTCATAACAAAATATTAGCTAGATATATACACATAGTACTTGCTAGTATATCATGTAACCAATGTAAGTTCCAAAACAGTTTCAATAAAGCAAAACAATTTATACACACAAGCACACAACACAGACACAAGAATGTACTCACATCGCATGCAACCATCAAATAGATCAACTATACATATTTTAACTTGTTGTAGTCTGTACTTTTAACATGCCTATCTATTTACTCTTCATTTTTTTCATGATATTTTAAGTATAAATTTATTAACTGATAAAAACAAAATTTGACAGACTGTGTTACAAAACTTGAGGTAAGTTTAGCATGAGGTGTAACATAAATGTTACTGGTAGCGGGATAATGAGACTAACAAATTAATGATATAAATATTTACAATAATGTTTATAAAGCCAACAAAAAAGCCAAGGAAGTTAAAAATGAGAGCAAGCTGGCGCTTTGAGTACATTCTAATGATATCACCATTCATTTCAGCATTTCTTGCCTACAACAAAAAATAAAACATGATAATGATTCCAATTACATTCATTTAAGACTTAAAAAGTCAACCAAACTAAAAGAATTCTATTGTGCTAACTTTGACAGCAAAGTATAAAGCTGGAATAATGCAAAAGAGTGCCAAAACTCCAATTAAACTGCATAAAAAGAGTTGAATGATAGCAAGCATTAAAAAGTTGTCACTAGGGCTTTGATTACGACAATAAATCAAATGAAAGTCATGTGTGAACTGAGGCTGAGTGAAGACAAGAGGCTCCCTGCTATTGGATGAACGACTATCATTCTATAAATAAGAACAAAGGACAGCATTATTGCATCAGTAATGGCATGGAATGATTGGACCTCGTTCTGAATTATTTGTGGATTTTCTTCATCATCATCATCAACTGATATTGGAGGAACAGGAATAAGAGCAGCTGCAGTGAAGCAAAGTAGACATTTGAGAAACTATAACTTGTAGCTAAACTTACTGTTCTCCATACTTTGTTAGTACAAAAATGAATCTGCTTGTCGTGTCTTTTGTCAAGTGGATACTTATATATAGCAATTGAAAATAGAGTGCATAATAAACGACTAACAAAGGGAACAGAAATCAACAACAGTTCACAACAAAATATTAGCTAGATATACACACATAGTACTTGCTAGTACATCATGCAACCAATGTCAAGCTCCAAAACAGCTTCAATAAAGCAAAACAATTTATACACACAAGCACACAACACAGACACAAGAATGTACTCGCATCGCATTCAAGCATCAAATAGATCAACTATACAAATTTAACTTGTTGTGGTCCATAATTTTAACATGAGTATCTATTTACTCTTCATTTTTTCATGGTATTTTAATTCAATTATATTTATTATCTTATTATAGATATTATATAGATTATAC